AAGGATATAATTTCGGTGTGATGACTAGTAAACTAAACTTATGACTAACAACATAAAGAGATATGATCACACAAATATTTGCTTCTCATAATGGGACATTATGTGAATTTTGGTCAATCTTTTCACTGACGAGATGTGTTACCAACAAATCTACATTTTAAGAACAAACGGGCATTTTTAATTAGAAAAATAGTCTGTTTTACATATAATTATGAACTTAGTGCAATATGATGGAGTGTATTTCAACATCCAGATCTGCAAGTCATATTCAATGAAGGAGTTGGTTTGATCAGTCTCATAATACCAATTACTGAAGGAGTGTTGTAATTACTCAATGTTCAGCTTTTGTATTTCAAGAATTTATTGAAAGTTATTCTAATATTATATGTATGAATGTGCATCATAATCATGAACGCAATTCATCAACGTACAACGATAATTAGTGAATGAGAAAGTTTACTGATGCATGATTTGGAACGTTGTGACCTTTTCTTATTTCTAGGAAAGAGGTTTTCACTGCGAAATTCAAATTCTCATTGCATCACTTGGTGGATTCTGCGATTATCGGATGGAAAAAGGTGATAATTTACAGTTTTTCCCTTAGCTACTGCTGATCAAATTAATTTAACAACTCGTTTCCTGAATGTAGTTGGTTTTGATGGGACGTGCTAAACCAATAATCAAAGTTCACTTATTTTATAGAAATAAACTGGATATGAATCTAATAGCTATACCGACCTCTATCACCTTCATTTGTAGTGAATTTTCACTAATAGTCTCTTGATTTCTGTCATTCCATAATAATAATAATAATAATAATAATAATAATAATAATAATAATAATAATAATAATAATAATAGTCGACATCCAATTGGGGACGTCACGAACGATTTACCAGCGATAGTTGCCGCAATAATAGATGTACATCCAAATCCTTATCGCCTTTCATGTTGAACATATCTAATTCAAAACATCGTGAAAAGTTATTTTTTGATTAATCTTCCATTAAAAGTAAAATAGTAGTATTTGGGATTAGAGAATATTTCGCTACCCTTTTTTCTCATGTTAGCTAAGCACACAGATAGGGAAACAGAAATAATTTGTCAAAATAAATCTGCCTTCTAGTTTCCAAAACATTTGTCCGTAATCAAGTCAACAGACGCTACATTTCTGGCACAAAGCAGTACGAATTTCATGAAGGCGACATAGAATTTCGTAGCTCTATGGATTGATGAGAAAAACTTCCATACTTAGATAAATTTTCAGTGTGCTTCTGAGGACTGGTCCATATTAGAGGCACCCACAAAATGATCTGAATGTCCCTTCTTTACTTTATTTAGTATTGCTATTTTTATGTGCTATTACAAATTTAAGAAACTAATAACTGTAGTGAATCAATACTCATCGAGTGGATACGTTAAGTATATAATTACATAATGACATTTCGATTATAAATTACCATTGAGTAATTGGAAGAAAGAGGAATAATAATAATCAAAGTAATTATACGAAAATCAAGAAGTTGCTGCGTTGCATAATAAATAAAAAAGAGAAAGAACAGAATATTTTGATGATTGGTCAGTAGAACAGTAGTTATGTAAGGATCAAAATACGAAAATAGTTGATCAAAGTTCTGCTACAAACGCACCTATACTGATGGCCAAGGTAACGAAAGTGGTTGTACAAACTTCTTATGGATGCAAAGGTTAGGTATGTGAGCATGGATTGCAATGGCTTCAAGATTGTGCAAAAGACGCACTCATAAACCATGTGGCAAATTTGATGGAATATGGTAGATAACCTTAAAAGCTTTATTCAATTCAACTTGATGACCTGTGTCAACCAAGTAAGCGAGAATAGAACTTTTAATCACTCTTACCTGTCCTTTCCTCAACTACGACGGATGGTGCTCTGTTATGCGATGACGAACTTGTCAAATCACAATTGATTGATCACTGGGTGGTGATCAATGTCGAATTGTACGCACTATATAACTGGCTCCACAGGAACAGTTGAATCGATAAATACACATAAATTTGGTGAAATCAGGCAATCTGTCTTTATTAGCTGTTCTTATTGTGGGGTGGTTGTAGAAAATAGCACTCAGTCTGGCTGCATTAAATGTTTTTTGTACCGTTTTTCGTAATCTCTGAGTCAAAATTTCTTCAGTAGCATCATTTAGCAATTGTAATTTTAGGAACAATCCATTTTTTGGAACGGTAGGTACCCTTGTCCTTCTTTTCATCTCCTTCATGTGTTTGTCAATGAATTTCATTGGGTACGCGTTTCTAATGAGTAAGTTACGAATATTAACCAATTCATCTACAATAGTGTCATCCGAACAAATCATTCTAGCACGATGAGTCTGGATATTTATCAAGTTCCTTTTGTATCTGCTTGGTACTACAGTATAGGAATGAGTATATTGTCCAGCTGCAGACTTTCTGTGTAACCCTCTTTTTAAAGTTCCATCCGCTCATCTAGTTAGCTGGACACCTAGAAATGATATGCTTTTGTTCTGTTCCTCCTCTAGTGTGAAATTAATCGATGGATGAACGTTATTAAATATATTAAGTAAAATGTCCTTTTCATGTTCTTTTTCTAATATTCTGAAAGTACCATCCATATAGCGATAATAAGATGTCGAATGGCTAATTCTCTTTTCAAGTGGTTCATTTTCCAGTTTTGCAAGGAAAATGTCTGCCAGTAGAGGGTCCAATGGTGACCCCATCTAATTGTCTATAGTATTCGTTGTCAAATCGAAATTGGACATTCATCGTGCATCTAAGAATTAACTGTTTTATTGCGGATGCGGGAATTACGGTTTCCATGTGCCTCTCTGTTAATTCATTGCAAATAAATTCACTGTTTTAAGTAGGGGAATGTTAGTGAATAAGGACAATACATCTAATGATATCATGAAGTTATTCTTGACCGATAGATTTTTTATATTCTCAACAAATTCAAAGGAATCCTTTACACTATACTTAAAATTCCTTTGTGCAATGGTTTGATAATTTGCACCAACCATTTCGCTATAGTATCATAGGTTGAGTTATTCATATCTAAAACGGGTTGAAAGGGCAAGCCACTGTTAGGTATCTTTGGTGGGCCATATTGTTTTGGTGTAATCGTTCCTGTAGGTTTCAACATTTCGAACGCATTTTGTGAAATAAAACCTTGTTGTTTTATTTGTTTCACCGAATCTCTTAGTTGCTTTTCAATCTTGGCTGCCACGTCATTCCTCACTATCAGTTTCTGAAATTTACTTTTATCATTTAAAAGGGCTTTCAGCTTGTTTATATAGTTGTTTTATCCATGAGTATTACCTCATATCCTTTGTCTAGTTTCGTGATTAATAAATTGTCGTTAGTTTTACGTTTTCTTAAAGCTTCCTTGTGTTTTTTCGTCAAAATCCCTTTCAAATTATGTCCATGAATTAAGTATCAGAAACAATAGTCCATTAGTGTTGATTTAAATCTTTCGACATTATCTTTTGATGAAGGTACTAATTCTGTCGTTTGAGTATAAGGATGTTCAAATGGAATTTCAATGTCCATTTTATTAACCGTTTTCTTAAAGCCACAAAACTTAGGGCCTAATGATAACGCTTCTAACTCAGTCTTATACAGCATTACACTAGAAAAAGTGTGTACGTACTGACATGGATTAGATGGAAATTTCATTTATGGAATCCGTTAGTTTAGGCTTTGAGTAACATAACACATCTGTTATTACTTACAGTGTATCTTGTTGAATAGTTTTGCTAAATCAGATTAAACTATTAGATGGCGACTTTGGCTACAATCAGTTCATTAAATCATTGAACAGATCATCCAGGAATTCGAAATGTAAGATCCCGAAATTCACTGAAATATAAAGATCATCCATATTTCATACTGATTAATAGAAGAATGTTAGACTATTCCACTTATTATTTAATATCATCTTGACATGATTTTGGCAACTTATGTATCATAATTCGTTGACCTATATCTGTAAGTAAACAGTAATTATTTGACTGTACACACTAAATGAATTCCAATTCCTTATCTGATGTATATTTCATATTTGCATTTGTACACAAGCAGTCAATAGATGTGCTAATATTGCTACTTTGAAATTATTCAGTTCATTTAACAAACATTCATTCCAGCTAATACATTGTTTAGACTGTTGTTTAAATACTTGACTAATTATAATATGTGGTAATGACAAATAACTAAAAAATCTACAGTTTATTTATAAACATGTTAAACAGTGAATCATCCAAGGTTTAATATATGACAATACATACAATCCGGTCATCATACACTTTGCATAGTTGCTGAATTGCGGCTCATCATTCAAATTATTGTTTGTAATATAACATTTCCTTGTATAGGATGACATGAATCGAAAAATAAAAGATGATGATTATTTCTGTATCGACGATTCACCAATTCGTGAATATTTATTGAAAAATCTTTTGACACTTATTGAAATATTATTTGACCCTAAAATACCTTTTTATATTTTAATATAAAGTACCAGTTATCGATCGATGATAGATCACCAGTGAAAACATGGGAGCACTGAACGGCATGAATAATAAAAATTTAACGACTGTTTCACTTTAGCTATTCTTATGATCAAAGCACATACTATACATTTGAATGATTGCTTAAGATATATATATATATATATATATATATATATATATATATATATATATATATATATATATATATATATATATATATATATATACCACCAATTCATTATTACATCTAATTAACTAATTCATATAGGCAACAAAGAGTGTTATTCCACGTACATGAACACACCCTATGAAATACATGTTGATCAGCCATTTGTTCATTATTGTTGTCAGGTACGCCCACGGTTTTTTATCAGCGGCGATCAGAATTTCAATCATTGGTATAATAGTGTCAGGCTGAAGTAGTATATAAGCATCACAGTATTTTCATTTTAGACAATTATAACTTATCTATCAAAAATGAAAAGTATTGTATTTCTTCTGATTTTACTTGTGATCTCAAGTGAAATAACATTTGATGGTAAGTAGTTCTCTTGTAAATCCGGTGTTTGATAATGTGAAGCAATTTCGTGGATTGATGGAAGTTAAACGTTAACACCGTTGGATACCGGCTCAGTGGTCTAATGGTTGAGCGCTCGCGCGCAAGACTGATACGTCCTGGGTTCGGATCACGCGAGGAGCGGGGTCGTGGATGCGCACTGCTGAGGAGTCTCATAGTGGGACGAAACGGCCGTCCAGTACTTCCAGGTTTTCCATGATGGTCTAGCTTCAATTGACTCATGATTTCGACTATTGAAGTTCAAATATTGCAAATTTCACTTGTTTATTTTTGTCTGTTTGCTTATCATATGTGGAACAAGTTGTAGAAGTCACTAGGTGTGTGTTAAATGTCAACGATAAGTCACAAATAACTGATTTTTTAATTCGTTTCGTCATTTCGTTGTTGCCGTAAAAATGGTTATCTTAACTTTTTGTCTAAATAATACCGCATTTGGAGAGAATTATATGCATTTACGGTATTTAGAGGAATGGATCACACATTTTTGCAGATTTTTGTTCCAGGATGGATAACAAATTTTATTTAAGATGTTGAAATTCACTATAATGTTTCGAATTATTTGAATTATAGTATGAACTAGGAATCCCAGCATTAACGCAATCGAATCAAGAATTACTAGACAAGCACGAACGAATGTATTGTATTTAGAATTCGAAATCGAGCACTCAAAAAGTACATTGGTATCAACAGTTCATTCAAACACCACATTCACTTATTTTTAAATTGAAATACAGTGAAAGGTGGACCGGTAAGTTTTACAACTAATAGATCAAGCTTTTTTATATCAGAAATCGTATTTTATTTTCACGAAATACAGTTTTATGTAATTCCATGTCCATAGTTAATGCGACTGTATTTCGAATGTGCGTAATAAGAATAAGTGAGCCTTTTCACATTCATTGTAAATGTTCATAGAAATAACCAGGTAAACACATTGCACATTACTAAATGTTTAATCGAATTAAAGCCTTGTCATGATAAAGTGATCATCGGTACGAAAGTTGTCATGTCATTTACATAAATTTTAAATATAGTAGCTGCAAAATTGAAGTCACGCAGATGATATTGGTGTGCATTGAAATGTTAGGATAATTATGAAATGGAACAGAAAAACAATAAATCGAAATCAACTATGATGAGGATAGATTTGAATGACAAGCCACTGTCGATTAACTGAAAAAACGAAGTGTTAATTGAGTGAAAAGTGTTGAATAGAGTTAAATAGGGTAAAAATAATCAACTGGTTTTACTTGCCAGTAACTACAAATCTGCTAGATAAATCAGTGTGAAAAATATAATAGTCATGCTCTTCCTTCATTCCAGCTACTAGTTAAGATAGACAAAAAGAGGATTCAATAGATAGAACATTAGAGGTTGATAACTACAACTCAGGTTGTGTTCAATTCTAATTTAAGTTAGATGTAAATAATTCGGCTAAGTAAAATACATATAGCAACCACATATAGGACACGGTTCCGTATCCTATAATGTAAAACGACTGATCTGTGTGTGAGTGTGTGTGCAATGTAGTCCTACATCATGAGCAATATTCATGATCTCCTTTCAGTAGGATGCATAAAAGAGATCCTTACTGATCAACGTAATTCTGGGGCATATCAAGATGTATATTATTCGATAAAATAAAATATAAAACTAGGTGGTGTTGTTTCTTTAACTCAATGAATTTATTTTAGCAAACAAAGTATACTTCAATTTATGCTTTCGTATCTCAAGAGATCATATAAATTTAACATTGTGTAAATCATATTGTGGTGTAGACTTCTCTATATGGCAGATAATTCACAATTTGTCGAATAGTTTTTACAGTAAACTTTGGAGCATTTAACTGAAACATTTAACTGAAATGCCCGAAATATGTGGTGATTCGGAAACGTATAGTCACTGACGGTGTCGCCTGGATTTCGCCTTCACTATTGGTGTTTCAACGAATAACTGTGAGTACTATACATCTAATACTAAATAAAACCATTATTATGACTAATATTATTACTTACGTTATTATGATTAGTGTGAATCAATTTTCATTTTATTACTCTATATGGTACTTATTGCTTATTTGGTTCAAAACAGGATGAAGGAGTAAGCAATAATTTAGTCTTAATATTTAAGTCCTCTACTGCGTTAATTTGTCAACCATGTTATGTGGTAGATGTATCGGTTAAAGTAAAAACTAATTTAGTTGATATAAGAAGTCGAAAATGAGAAGTTGACCTTACAAATAAGAATAAAAATGTGACTTAGAAACGTATAGTCATTGACGGTGTCGTCCGGATGTCGCTTTCACTATTGATGTTTGACTGAATAACTGTGAGTACCATATATTTTATGCTTAATAAAACCATTATTATGACTAATATTGTTCCTTACGTTACTATTATTAGTCTGAATCAATTTTTGTTTTATTACTCAATATCATACTTATTACTTATTTGGCTCAAAACAGGGTCCACATGTAAGTAATAATTTGGTTTTAATATTTAAGTCCTCTACTGCGTTAATTTGTCAAAGATTTTATGTGGTAGATGTATCTTGTAAACTAGAAACTAATTTAGTGGGTATAAGAAGTTGAAAATGAGAAGTTGACCTTACAAATAAAATTAAAATGTCACTTTATCTCTTTGATTATTCTCAACCATCATGTATCATTCCGCCTGTTCATAATATGCTCATGAATATATATAATCCAGATGATCAAAATGAATTTTAATAGTTGGATTCATGAGTCAATTAAAACTAGACCACCGTGGAAAACTTGGAAGCACTGCTAAGGAGTCCCATATTAGGAAGAAACGGCCGTCCAGGGTTTTCAGGTTTCCATGGTGGTCTAGCTTTAATTGACTTATGAATTCAATTATCAAATTACTAAAATCTTCACCAAACCCCCTTCTGAAAAAATGATTTTTGTTTCTTTTTAAAAAGGCTGATTCTGTAAGTTATGAACTTAATCTTAAATCAAATTTGATGTACTGTCAATATTCAATAAAGTTTTCAATGAATGGTAACTGATAATTTCGGATATGAATGAATAACATTTAACGAAGAAGAAAAATATGTAATGATGTAGTCACAAAATGGAATGAAATCTACAGTTAGTCATAAATCTCTTGTTATTCCAATCACTCATTCACCAGGAAATGAAGCAAAGTGGATTACAAGAACATAGACGTTAACTAAATGCCAATTAACGATTACTTTCTTTTTAGTTGACTCGTGACTGAATCATACCAGGATATTTTTCAACAATTTACATCCCAGTTTTATGTTCTATTAAATTTTCGTGATATTTTTAAAAGTGCTGTCAAGTGGTGAATTTCATCAATCCACTTGATGGATCCATCGATGATTTTACTTTTTTCCAGTCACATAGTCATGGATTATCAGAGGCTTTAAGAAACAAGGCAGGAAAAGATTATCTTGTAAGTGCGGGTTTAATTTCAATTTTTTTGAAAATATATATATATATATATATTTATTTATTCTTGGAAAGATATTATTCATCTCTCTGATTCACGACTTAGATGTTCGAAATTTAGTTTATCTGCCACGATTTATTGTAGTCACTAGATTGATTAACTAAACCATTTTGGTAACAAAGATTTCCAAACCTTGCATAATATCATCTCTTCATATTATGAATAGTTCTATAATAAGAGCTCAACGGTTCCAGCATGATCTGCGAAGTTGTATTTTGCTTTCCACTGAGCTTAACTATACATAGATGATGCACACAAGGAAACTTTAAATTACAGGCCAATCTGAAAAACATTCATTTCAAGAATGTTACAATTAATATTTCCAGCGTGTTCTGTGGTGATACGCAAACACCTAAATTAGTTGGCTTTGTATTGATTAATTTAAATGTTTCCGAACAACTCGTGCTAACTGTTATTATGAAATGTAACTTTCCATGTTCACGAATTCATCAGTCTGACCGATCAGTCGAATAGTTGAAACTAAACACAGTTTGATTTTAGTAACTACATTTGAATGAGAAGGCAATGTTAACAGACATTGGTTATTGTCAGTGGAACACCAGTTAGACTACTTAAAGAATATTGTGTAGTAAAGCATAAATATCTGACTACATTATTGTAAATGGTTTAAACTTTACTATCTGCTTTCCTTAAAGAAAAAACATGGAATCATAAAACGATAAAAGATGTAAGTCGGCTGATTTTGTTTTACATACAAATTATCCCAGTGTATGACTACATTTGAATAGCCTCTCAGATGTATGCTGTTCTTTGAGTTATCTTCTATGTTCAGTGTTTTCATGAGATTGTCGAAAATATAGTGAAAAACAAACAATCAGGTTGAATTCATGCACATTTTCACAATCTTGAAATACGGTAATATCTGAAGTAACCAAGAAGAATAACCACGAGCTAACATAAAGCATTGAACTAATATTCCACTTTTAATACCCAAGTGTGCATTGCATATAAATTATGTTGTTAAAGAAAGGATAAGCTAAATACCTTAAAATACAATAACAGAACAGCAGATTTAACACTATGAAATCAGCATTAATTTTGATATGTCTGGGATTTAATTCATCGGTTTATGTTGTATCCTTAAATTTTTTATTGAATTCATTTCGACTAGCATTCAAGCACCAGAGAGTATATGTTTAAAATCAGATTATTCCAAAGTGTATTTGGATTAAAAATGTGCGGAGTTGAATATTGTTAATTGGAGTTAATGGTTTAAATGTTGCTAAACTTAGTAATTATTCAGAACTTTTAACCGACTAACTATGCTGTTAGCTAATTATACTGGTATTCAGAAACATCACACAATGAACCTTCTAAAGATATCAATGTTTTGAAACACGACCATTGCTCTATTAGTTTCTTTATCATTCTCTTTATTTACTTGATGTGCCCTGAGTAGACAAATAGAGTAAGTAAGAAATGTTATGTTTTGTTAATTCACATTCGTGTGGTGTGATGAGATTTAACACTAAACAAATTAATACTTCATGGTTGATTAGTTTTAGATAATATTAAAATGGTCTGTTGAAAAAGTATTGCCAAATTAAATGTTCCGTTTACATCTGTAGTAGGGAGTAGATGAACCAATCTTGTAAAAATAAAAAGTCGGTTTTGCGGTTACAATTATGAACATCATAGTGTTCTGGAATTTCACTCTTTAATCGTTTTCTTTTCTTTGAGCATGCTTCCTCAATCTAACAAAAATTATTTCTACTTTTCCTTCCTTTTAAAGATGAATTCGAAACTGTGTTTCTCAATCATTCATTTTCATTCTATTTTAAGCGGGCAATTATATAGAAACATAATTATCTCATTTTATCTTCACTATCTGTCACCCATTTCAGTGAAATAAAATCAATGTTATTTTACAGTGATCAACTTGTGTTAAACAACATTCAATGGAATGTGAACACTTAATAAAAATGGGAATGTAGTTACTATCGATTGGATTGGTCTAATTGAAAACAGTAATGGAACCTGTTTTAATAAACTACAATGAATATTCATAACGAATAATTTCGGTCGTAAACTCTATCAATGTAATATTACCGTTCTGTCAGTAAAGTTTAGGCTTTCATAAAATATTTAAAGATTTTCTTTGTGTTATGAAGTGAAAATCAATACTGTAATTCAAATGAATGCGACAAAATCCGTAGTGCATACAAGACTATTAGTAATATAGCCAGGACATTCTATTTTGAAATTGAATAGTCCATTTATATTCGTGAATGTTTATTTTGAATTTGAACGGTCGTGTATATCATCATAACCAAGGTGCTGCATTTAAGCAATTGTTAGAACCATACAAAGTTCAAAGAATTCTCATATACTTATAATAATTGTTAGTGCATTGAATTCTTGTCCCACCTCGTAAATAATGTAGGGGGTGAATATCGTTAAATTTTCCACTAGTACAGCACTCCATTAAATCACATCATTTATGAGTGAAGTTAAGTAGTATCTTTTAAGACAAGTTTAGAGCTTTCTGATAACAATATGTAAGATTGAGTGTTGGCAGTTCCCTGAATCCCAGAAAACACAAGTTTACTTAAAATCATACACGAAATGCGTAATTGCTTTACGTAGAATATGAATTTGATTTAGCAGTTAACAATAACAACTGTGGTAAATTATACACCACATACTGTGTAAGGTTGTTTAAATAAATGTTCGTACAACATTCGTCAATAGAATAACATGATATCAATCAATAATTCATCTGTTAGTACGGAGTACCAGATTAGTGCTTCCTTAATGCAGACAGAATTTCTCTGACTAGGTATGTCATATGTATGATAAGCTTAGTGCGTCTAAACTACCGCATATAAAATAATAAACATTTAAGTGATTTAAAAGTGAGTGAAAGATCAAGTGACATCATGCAGTAACAGCTTTTCATGATTAGTAAAATTCATCTATATATAGGTGTATTTTACACTGAGTTATGACTTATAATTAAATTAATAGTAACCCTGAAGTCAGGCAGTTGTTCATTTATGAAGAAAACTGTTGGGATATTCAGGAAAATATCCCAAAAAATCATCGTGTTAGGCCTAATGTTATCCTTGGACATGAAATGCTATCATCTTATTGGTCGATATTTATTTAACGTGTTATTTTCCTGTTGGCCAATATTGTACAATGTTATTTTCTATTTTGTAGTACGTTGTGGTCTGCTTGACTGGTATATAAACAAAGTATGTTTGAAATATAATGATTCATAACTCAGAGGCTGTGACTTGTGTTCTGGACTCAACTGGCTGGGTTAGACAGGGAGGCGGGACCAATCAGAACCCTAGGTCGTTCTACGTGTTTGTGCGTCTTTGGTGCGATCAATAATTCGCTACCCCTTAATCAGCAGCATTTTTCACAGTTATAACAAAAAAATTCACTAGTCTTACTGAATTCTGAAGACAGATTATTTTTACATTTAGGCTATGTTGGAAACAAACAGAATGTATTTACATTATTACATAGAATAAAAGAACCTTGAGCTAGAATATTCGAGAATTCAACTTAGCCCTAACCCATAAAGAACTGAGTATGAAATATACATGTATATTTTTAGTGAGCTCGTACATCTACAATATCTACAAACCATTCGTAGAGATGGAAGCCTATTACCATTTTCTTTTATACAAAACATTTCATCATTCTTGAGTTGTGGTTTTTTTATCATAAGCAATATAGCATTGAGTCCAACATAATGTATTTCTGTTCTAATGTTCTGTGATGCTAATAAAATCATAAAACGACATGTGAATTTTCAGGTTGCATGGATATTACTGATTTTTACAATTAACTGTTTCTTTGATTATTGCAGTCATTATGTGATTTAAGCTGTATAAACCCATTCAGCTAAAAACCATTAATTTTGGCATGTACAATGTAGTTGTCCATCATGGTGATTAAATATGTGCCCACTTCCGCCGTGTTTTAAATCATTCGCTTTTGTATACTCATAGTTGCTAAACTGTAACGTTTTTGATCATTACGAGATTTCGTGAGAACAATTACATAACTCTGAGTGTTTCGTTCCACATTTTCTTCATTATTAAACGGAAGACTTATGATGTAAAATGTAATCGCTAACACATCAATGTCATAATTGCTCATAACGGGACTATAATTTTTAAGCGGTTTTAAGAAAAAAAATGAGAGTGAATTTCGAGGCATATCACTAATAATAACATTCATATAAATGAATTAGTGTCATACATGCCATCCAGTTATTTCAGTTTAATCGAACCGAATAATGTATTTGAGTTCTGTTAGGAAGTTCTTTCTTAGCAGTTGAGTACTGTTAACAGAGAGAATTAGTGATGCCAAAATATCCGTAAACTTTTATGCCATTATTCAATCTTTTATTATTTACTAATGAGACCTTTCAGCCTGCTTCTTCGTGGATTGTTTATTCGTGTGTCGACTTGAAAAAAATTGTATAATACTATGAATGACTTGATTTAGTCTTATACGCTTAGCACAGCACGGAAAAATCAATACACAACTACTTTTACAAAAAAACGTCAACAGTATAATTTCAAGGATGTTACATGGAACATAACTGACAGATTGGATGTCTTGAATATCTGATTTCGAGATGCATATTTCGGCACCATATAATTTTTTGTTCATCGGTGTACATTGAAATAGAGATTGTTGAACAGGCCGATAGATAAAGAAATGAATCACTCAGAAATAAACTATATTGATTAGGTCTTCTTGAGTGGCTGCATCCGCCGGTATCAGTAAATAACTAAAGGAAGCATCCACAATCTCAGTTTACAAGTAGGAAGCTTAAGCAATTGCAGAACAAGCTGTAAGTCAGTGTGACGAAGACTGGTCGTATCGGCAAGGTTTAAACGTTAGGTCCTTTTGAAATGTGCCCGCCCTTTCGTTTCAACGACCTTGAACGGCTTGACTAGAGGCGGTCATTCCGTATTTCAATTGCCGTGGGTTGGTTGGATTGCATGAGTATCAAGTTTTTTCATATATAAGTCATGTTATGCTACATAAAAAAGCACGAAATAAATACCAAAACCATTAATTTAGCGTTCTCTGTTTTGTAGTGTACACGTTGGCTCTGTTGTTGCTTTGTAATTTGATCTTTGATCCCAACAACTGTAGTAAAGCTCAACGAAATGTCAAGTCACAGGTAAATCCTAAGTATTTGTAGTATTTTCTTGGGTTATTATTGTCGCAAGGAATAACCTTTTAATAATTAGTCATTTCTGTTTTTAGTGTTTCATGCTCAAGTGACATTTCAGTCGACCTAACCGATGCCTTTCGAAGTATGATACTGAACAAGCGTTTCGTCTTGTGGGATGATTTTGAAAGCGCCTTAAAAGAGTTCCAAAAAGTATGGAATTATAGTTTTATCGCTTCTCAGACTACTTATACTCGTTACATCCACACAGAGAGCAGATTGCTGAAGGATGTCAGGTTCAAATACCTGTTTGTATCGTTTAATTGTACGTTTGGTCATAAGAGGAAATCGGAAGGTTTGAAAGTGAGGCAAAAATCGTAAGATCTGTAACTAATATCTTATGTTTAAGGTCTAAATTCCGTAATTGTCAATCTAAATTTCGTGTAAGACTAGAGGAGCAAGGATATGTCATCAAATCCTACAACATGCTCCACAATCATCCATGTAGTAGTTCATGGATGGTATGTGATCCATTGACAAGGAGATTATCGTCAGAAGAAAAAGAGAACTTGAAGCCCGTAATACTTCACTGTGAGTCAGCAGATGAAGTTATCGAAAGCATTAAGGAGAGAACTGGTAAGCAAGTAACTGCTGCCGATGTCAAAGGGATGAAAGCTACCCTCTCCACTGGTAAGTGAATATAAATATATTTCAGGTTGTTGTACTCGGAACCAGGTAATGGATATGCTTAGACAGAGAGGCGAAGTGAAGGAACATTTAGAAAATGGATATGCCACTAGAATATGTTTCAGTAGTTCTAACCAAATACAACTGTACAGAAAATATCCAGAAGTTGTGTGCATTGATTCTACGTATAATACTAATAATAAAAAGTGAATATGTTTATCGTTGTATTTTACTATGTAGATATTCCTTATTCCAGTTAGTAGTGACGGATAATTGCGGTCGAGGTCGAACTGTAATGTTTGCATGGACTCTAAGGGAAAAGCGTGCTGATGTTATATGGATTCTAGATCAATTCAAAGAGATAATGGGGGATACAATGTTGACTGAAACATTTGTGATGGACTGCGCAAGATGTGAAAGCGCGGCTGTCCGTATGACACACGGACATGCAAACATAATTTTGTGCGCCTTTCATGTAATTCGCGCTTTCCGGAAAAAGGTACACCAATGGTTACTTATATAATATTGCCCTTAGACAAACGACAAAATAATTAAAGCCTACTTAACTCGATTGGTAACTGCGGAGACGGTTGGAAGGTAATTTTAGTAATGTGTTTATTCAATAGATTTAATCAATATTACAGAATAATAAATCGGCGGGACAGATTGATAGGTCAGTACCTGTCACGTTTTTGGATGGCACGTAAGACGATGTGGGCGCGTGCCTTTTACGGTCATGTTTTAACATTCGGTAACAGCACGAATAATCGTGTTGAATCGCTGAATAGACAAATTAAACGATATGTACGCAAAAGTGATAGTCTGTACAAGTGTATGTACAAGGCTTTAAGATGGAGTGATTTGACGTCAGCTAGAAGAAGCATCGAAGATCAAGTGATAGCCGCAAGATCTTATAAATATAATGCTCCACAGCGTTTTACACCCCTGCTAAATATTTTGACCCCATTCGCTAGATCTAAATTGTTATACGAACTTAAGCAAATGCGTTTTGTCTACGT